GATGAGGAGAAGCAAGTTTGATGTATTCAGGAATTTGCAGATGGTTCCACGAATTGTGCTTGGAGCTCTAGGTAAAGAGAAGAGAGGTCACGAGAGGTAAAGAAGAGTCACATCACCCAGACACATCTATCCAGGCAGAGAGCGAACTGGGAATAATCTGGAGGATCATGACGACCACTAAGGAGACACCGGAGCAGGAATAAAGATGCAGCTTTCCCGGATCCCTCCAGCTTGGCTCTCGATCTCCCCCAAACGCTCCGCCTCCCCCCAGGAGGGCCCCGCAGGGCTCTCTTCTCCGTGAGCCTCTTCTTGCGGAAATGATTCGGAAGCCTGGGTCTCCACAAGTATCAGTACGCATGAGGCCCTATGGACATGGAAGATAATTTCGTACACCCTTTCATTTTTATTCTATTATGAAGATTTTCTGTTTTTTTTTTCCTAAATATTACATCCCCCCACAGAACTACTTTACAGATATTCTAAAGCTTATTAGTATAGAACTGTGCAATATTTTTAAATATTGTAATTACTTGTAATGAACTACTTGTCATTCAGTTTTGTTAGTCGTTTGTGCTGCCTTTTGCCTCATTAAATTGTGCAAAATGACCACTTACTCCTTCCACTGAAATTTGTTTTGGTATATTTTATATGTTATTATATTCATTCAAGAAGCAAGTCTCTCTGTATAAGGGAAGACAGCAATCTGGATACAGAAAAGAGCTGGGATAATTCCCCTAAACTGAAATCCTTGGCCCAGCTTTAGAGAAGACCACGTGCTGCTGCAGTTTGCCTGCACTTGTGACACCAGCCAGTGGTGGTGTGAGAGTGAATGACTCAGAAGGAAAGGAGTAGACTCAGGGCAGGAGGATACTGCTGATAGGGCCAGCTAGCACAGCACAGTGTAGCTTGAGCTTTCTGAATGCAGCTCCAGCCCATCAGTCAGTAAAGAAGACCTGAATGTTTTGTACTCAGCGGTGCCAAGTGGCACATTTACTGAATGAAGAGGAAAATCTGAGGCCTCTGAGAACACATGAGGCCTACAAATGCTGCCCACGAAGCATCAACGGTTTACTTTAGCTTTCGCCATATGCATTCAACAACAAAAATGTACTCATATTCCACATTGAATACAAATATTCTAAAATTGTATGAGTTGGTAAAGATGATCATTTGGCATGATAGCATGTTTGGTAGAAAGATAATTAACATTTATTTATCAACTATGAGGTATTCCCGCCCCCCCCCCGCCGCCGCCCATACACACACAAATTGAAGATAATATGAGCTTTGTTATTAAGTCTCCAGTATGCTCAAGAAAACTTAAAACACTTAGGATGTAGAACTGTACCTGTAGAGTCTCAGTGGCAAAACAACCCCGAGGAGAAAAACAACTCCCCCTCTTCCTACCCTAGGGAGACCAGATGAGAGTCATCTGAACTGGGAAGTTGCATAGCTTGGGAGAGGCACTGTAGAGAGGGAAGAGTTGAGGGTGCTGAGATTAAAAAAAGAAGAAGAAAAAAAACCCAGATGCGGGGCTGGAGTCAGACTTAAGAGATAGCCCAGCATCATCCTCAGGCTAATGGAAGATCATGAAACTCTCATACAATAAGGATCTCAGGTTCCCAGGGCAAAAAAATTTGTGGTCACCATCTGGTGATAGCTCTAGGTATTACTGCCTGCTCATTTTCCATGGACATCGTACAGACTGAAGGCTCCTTATGCTCTGAGATCCTCCTGAGCCCACACAAACTTTCAACTGTGAACAGTACATCCCTAAATACGACCCAGCACAATCCAAAAGTCCCAGAAATACAAGATGGCATGATTGCCACATACACTGTCAGAGATGATGGGAAGAGAAAGCCCTAGAACTGATTCCTAGGTGGTGAGAACCCACACTTGTATTGAAACTGGGGGTCCTTATTATTTTGATTAAATTTAGTTTTCAATCCTGGCTCTAGAAATCATAGCTTGCTCTCTCTGTCTCTCTCTTCTTCCCTCCTCCTCCACTTCCTCCTCAGAGACCCAGACTCCCCAGCCCCGCTGCCCCATAATCAGCAACCCCCGAGGCAGTAGAAGACTAGCTCTGACCTGACTGATCATCAGATTTGACTAATGGTCACACAGTCTGGACCTCTGGCAGGCTAAAGATAGTATCTTGACCTAAGTTATAGTTCAGGTGCTGAGCTCTAAGGTGGAAAGATCCCAGGCTATTTTCCAATGAGACCAGACAGAGGGACTCTGAAAAGGCTTCAGAACTGTCCTTAAGACCTGAAGAAATGATTTATTCTTACCTTATTTCCAACGAATCAGCTTCAGTCTTTAAAAATTGAATGCAACTGACAGGTTTCATAGTCTTATTAGCAGAGGGCACCATTTCTTGGGCCAGGAGGCTCTCTGTTAAAGAGATGATGACCCTTAAGTGTACAGACCTCTTTGTTTGTGTTTGCTATTTCAAGTCTTTTTTTTCTTCTTCTTCTTCTGTAACCATCTTCATCTGGGGGACTGAGAATTTCAGAGGATGAAAGACCTGGATATCCCTGAAGAAATTACCTGTCAGTAATTCAAGAGCATGCAGGATGTTCTTAGTGTTAAAGAAAAAAACACCACAGGTTAAAAATAGCATCATTCATGCTAAAAGCCCATGATACCAAACCTAGACTTAATACTTAATCTAACTGCAGATTGATCCTCTTCCAGAAACATAATCTTAATCAACCAGCATGGAATTTTCTGGTCAGGCACTAGTAAGGTAATCTGTAACATGGGCTCTCTCCATCCCACATGGAAAGAAGAAGCCATCTGCATTGATAAAAACCTTTCTGTTCTCTTCCTCCGAATAAAGGTGTCCAGGCCCCCAAATAATCCTTCTTTTTTCCTTTTGTTAGTAGCTTCCTTGTCCCCTGACCCGCCTTTCTATAAAAATCTCCCATTTTGTGCAACCCCTCAGAGCACCATTCTAGTTGCTAAATGGGATGCTGCTTGATTCATAAATTGTTTGATAAAACGAATTAGATCTTTAAATTTGCTTAGTTTGAATTTTGTTTTTCAACACTAGTGAGCCAGAGCCTCATTGTAGCAATGGGGTGACCAGAATGCAGAGATCAAAGGGAAATGGATAGACATTGATTCCATTTCCATGGACAAGTGCTAAAGTTAGGGTGGGGGGCATCAACACATAGAGACTGAATGTGCCTGATTGAAAATCCCACCCCCTACCAAAGGTCACCAGGAGATAAGGGAATGAAAAATTCCTGGCAAAGAAGAGACCAGAGCAGAAACTGCTGCTTTGTCAAACAGTCCATTAATTCTGTCTCAGTTCAGACGTAGGTAAGGGATAGTTGGCAATAAAAATGCCCAAAGAACCGGGATATCACCTAGTTTGGCGGCACCGTTTGCCTTTCTGTCCATGTGTGGACACAGAACAGGCCTGAGTTTGTTACGTGAAAGAGTTGGGCTGACCTACACTGCTTGCTGAAGAGTGAGCCCATCCCAGCACTGCTGAGTCTTCTATTGCCATATCCTAAGGTGGACAAGCGACCTGAAAAATGGAGACTTAGCCAGGGAAACAGAGAAAAGGGTTTTTGGTGAAAGAGAATTTCTGCAGAAGTAGTGTTGCAGGATTCTCAAACAGAGAGACAGGACGCCAAGGATGTAAGCAAGAAGCAGTGTTTATGATGCCGGCACTGACTCAGCAGATTCTTATCCAAAGGTTGAGCCCCATTGTAACATAACAGGCAGTTTTATGTAGTCTTGTTATTCCTACACAGCTACAAATATAAGGAAGAACATTAATTAGTTGGCAAGCCATGAAACAACTGATGTTAGCTGGAGAGTCCTTGAGGTGGGGTAGAGGGCAGTCAGGAATGAACTTGTTCTGAAGAGGAATTTTCACTCAAAAGGCTAATCAGTTCTTTGTTCTGCTTCTGTAGATATGCTTGCTGCAGAGGTCTTACTTGAAATTAACTAAAGACTCATCTTGGCTTTTGCTTGGTCTAAGCAACAAATGTAACTGCCTGTACCTCTAGCATCTCTCCTGCTTTGTAACTCTTCGTACCTGCTTGCAACCCATAGCAACTCCCACACTTTGTAAGCGTCTGAAGACAAATTAACCAAATAAATTCTATATAAGCAATGTTGCAACTGAGCTCCAGGCCAGATCTTCAGAGAGCTAGCTCTTCTGGGACTGCTGGCTTAATAAGCCTGAGTTCTCCAACTCTCTGAGTGATGCTTGATTTTTCGCTGGTCTTATTTTTGCAACTTTTCTGCAACATTTCCAGTGGGAAATAGCCCGGCAGGGTCAGCCTGCCACAGCAGAACATCAGAGAGTTCCAGTTTTAGTTCTAACATGTAAGAACTTGAAACTCATTAACCTCTTTACAACAAGAAAAAAACTGAACTAAACATTGTCAGGGCCAAGGTAAATTTTCCCTTACCCCCTTAGTTCTTCAGGCTGGTCAAATAATTCAAATGACATACAGCAGATTACCAGGAGAAAATAAAATTTTAATTCGTGTGCAGGGAGTATTTATTTAAGCATGGAAATTCCAAAGACAGTGAGGCAAAATGAGATACATGTCATTTTAGAACGAAGAGTGGGATGGAAGCAATTCACAGGTAGATGAGAAAGAGCATACAATTCGGCAATAAAATTTTTTTTTTTTTTTTTTTTTTTTTGCAGGAA